CAGCAGCCCAGGGGGGTGCCCAGAGGGGAGGCAAAGGGGGAGGGAAGGGCTGCCCAGCTGATCTGCAACCTGCAGACCAAAAAAACCAAAACTTTTGGAAAAAAATAAAAAGGAGAGAAAAAAAAGCAGTAAAAAAAAAAGTTTTGGTTTATTTTTTTGGGGGAGGGTTGCAGGGGAAAGCCGCTCTGCTTTGGTGTTGGGGGGGGCATGACTTTTTGGGGGTGTGTTTTTTGGTTATTTTTTTTTTTTTTTTACCCCCCGCTTTTCTGTTGGTTAGTGCGTTTTCGTGGGTCTGGGCTGCAGCCCTGCCTCCTGGCTGCCTTACCCGCCTCAGGCTGGTGCTTTCTAGCAGCTTTGCCCCGTAGGGGGAGAGGGACCGTGTACGTGTGATTTTTGATGCCGTAACCCCACACTTGCCCCTTCAACTGTAAGGCAAACCCCTCTCCTTCCTTTCCCCCCCCCCCCAATAAAATCCAAACTAATCAACGCGGTGGTGTCCTGTCCTCCTTCCTCCCCTCTGCCTCCTCTTCCCTAGGAAGCTTCCCTGGGGGGGTCGACATGCTGGGAAATGCTTCCCGGGGGGTCCCAGCAGGAGGGTGTGTGTGATGAGTTTGCAAGTGCTCTGGAGGGGGGGACCCACTGCTACCTTTGCAGGTGTGGGCTGGGGACCTGCTTTTATGTTAATTGACGCTGTTAATTGGTTACTGATTTATTGCTGCACCGCAGTGCTGGCGGGACCCGTGGGATGAGCAAGCGCTGGCTGAAACAGCAAAAACCCACCTGGTGGGGCAGCCCCACAAATTCGGGACACACGGGCAGGCCTGGATGGTGGTGGGGTGCAAGGGCCACTCAGACATACAGCCACACAGACAGACCTCTGCCTGCCCTGTGCAGGCAGGTGCAGGGAGGGATGCTCGGCATCCGTGCTTCCAGCCCTGGCTCCCAGCGTTTCCCTCCTCAGCTGCTGCCAGCTGCGATCCACCTGGGGAAGGGGGGGATGAATTATTTCTCGTGACAATATCTCCCCCTCTTTTTTTTTTTTTCCCAGACCTTCCCTGCAGTTGCTGGAGGCTGCCCGCTGGTGCTGGGGCCATTCCCACTCCCACGGGACCGGGGCCAAGGGGACCACCAGGGCCACTGCTACCCTGCTTGGGCCTTTGATGCACTGGGGGGGGGGCATCCCCAAATTCCCATCCTCCTCCTTGTGGTCTTGCAGCAGTGCCCACTGCAGCTGGGAGCTCTGGGGCCGTGCCGTGTGCCCCCATCCCTGGTGTCCCCTGGCACCCCTGGGACAGTGGGGACCATGGCGGGGGGGAGAGGTGTCGAGGCACCGGCATACTCTGGGCGGCCACTTTGGGGAGGGTTTGCACCCCCTGTACTGCCCCTCCCCCCCCCCAGCATCCCGGTGGGAGGGAGCAGGGCTGGCAATGTGCTGCTGCTGTTGCAGTGAAATGGGCTGCATTGGGAAAACCAGTGGGGTCAGCCCCAGGTGCCACCGGTGCAAGCCCCGTGCATCTTTCCAGGGTCACGGCCACGGCGCAGCCTCGAGGTAGGGAGGCAGCTGATGGCTTCCAGCACCTGCATGCCGTGGCAGGGAGAGATGGAAGGGGATGGGTGCAGCCGAGTCAATTTTAGGGGATTTTAGTTTAAATGGCTGTTTTCCTTATTGGCTCCTTCAGTGCATTCCTTCAGTGATATATATATATATATATATATATAAAAACCCCTACATATATTTAAGTATTTATATATAGCTATACATATAAAATAATTGTGCTCTTCTGCAAGCATTAGCGAGGCACTCACCACCCCAAAGGATAGCTATACAGGCAGTTTGAGGGAGGACCACGCATGCTGGGTATGGGTACCACCAACCTATGCATCCCCAAATCTTTCTTTTAAAGGGAAAAAGTTAGCGCAGCCCTCCTGGAGCTGTAAAAGAAAGAAATCTGTGCTGGACACAAAGTGAACTGAAGTTGCCCTCCCAAATTTAGTGAGCACCTGAAAGACAAGAGCCAGCAGGTGTATAACCCCCCACCCCCACCCCATCTTCTTTAAACAAAAATTACACACACTTCATCTTCCTTAAAAGATGTGGTGCATAGGGACATGGTTTAGTGGGACTTGGCAGCGTTAGGTTAACGGCTGGACTTGACGATCTTAAGGGTCTTTTCCAACCTAAATGATTCTACGATTCTATAAAAATTGTGCTTCATTATAACTCAGTAAATCAGCGCTGCTGAGAGATGCAGCTGGGAGGGGAGCCTGAATTTTGTTCCCTTGATTTTGGTGACATGGTCCTAAACCTTTTCATCCACCATCCCATGGTGCAGCTGGGTCCAGGATCTGCTTCAGAGTTTGGTTCTCCAAGGGGCGCTCACGTCCCCCAGGGGAATCCCATCTCCAATTTGGGCACCCAGTACCCAGCAGTGCCTGGTGCTGCAGCTGGGTGGCTTCTTCAGCATCCCCTCACACCACAATTTGGGCTGTGGGCATTTTCCAGTCCCACTCGTGCAGACCCAGAGCACGGCAGCGGCGCTGGTCGCTGAGCCTGGCTGGCGGCGGGGGCACAGAGGAGACCTTTTCCTGATCACATCAAATAGTGGCTTTGCCCTCAATGCCTGGCTTCATTTTTTTTTTTTTTTGGTCGTTGTTGCATTTCTCCCAGCCCTGGAGTTTCTTTGAAGGGCAACAAGCATGACTCGAGTGGGAACAGCCAGTTTGCTGGAAAACAACTAAAATTGCATACTTTTTTTTTTTCTCATATCAGGTAGAAACCCCCTGGAAAAACGGCGTAGTGACTAACCAGCACATTGCCCGCCGGCAAGCCAAGCGTACCCAGGCCTCATCCTCCCTCCACCGCCCAT